CCAGCTCTCTGCAAGGCTGTAACTGGAGGATAGCAAGTTCAAGCCCAGCCTGGGGAATTTAGCAATTTACAAAGAACTTGTGGGGTTTTTTTTAAATTTTGTTTTATTTTTGTTTTTGAGACAGGGTCATAGTACGCAGTTTGGGCTGGTCTTGTGCTCACTTTTGTAGCCCCCAGGCTAGTCTCAAACTCCCAGCAATCCTTGTGTCTCAACCTCCGAAGAGCTGGGATGACAGGTATGCGTCACCATGCCCAGTCCCAGGGCAGCACAGTGCTCCCAGGGTTCTAGGGCCGGCATGGCAAGTGGGGCCGGGGATCAAACTCAGGTCCTTGTGCCTGCCAGGTAGGTGCTTACACCTCTGAGCTATTTCCCCGGCCCCCAAATAAAAATTTTTAAAAATGAATTCACAACAAAATAAAATAATAAAATAAAATTTAAAACTAGAACAAATTGAACTGAGTTTTAAAATAAAGGTTTTGGGGCCGGGAAGATGGCTCAGTGGAATAAGCACTTCCCTGGCAAGTGCAAGGGTCTGAGTTCAATCCCCGGGTCCACAAAATAAATAAAGGCTTTTTCTAATCCAAGCATTGGCTTTTCTCATGGACTACTATTCTTGTCAGTTTCTTAGATATCGCTGCAGAGGTACAGAGAATATGCATGTGTATACAGAATAGCTTGTTTACAAATGACAACATGGTGCATACACCACACTGCATATTCATTCTTTCACTTAGTGTAATTAATTACATAATAAGGCAAAATATCTATGTAATATTACATCCTAAGGAAATGGAATGGCTGCACAATCCATTCTGTAAACTGTATTTTATTTGACTACCCTCTGTTGGTGAACATTTAGCCTATTTCCAATCTTTGGCTTATATCAATAATATATATTGTGCTGTGAGTGATTTGTTCTGCAAATGTTCCACAAATGAGCAAGCATGTCCAGTCAGTTTTAACTTGACACAGAAACAATATCTTTCCATAAAGTAGTATATAATGCAGAACATAACATAATCATAATTGAGCCAATGGTTCTTCTGCCTCCCTGTCTCTGTCTCTCTCTCTCTGACTTTGTCTAGTTCTCTCTCTCTCTCTCTCTCTCTCTCTCTCTCTCTCTCTCTCCTCACCCTCTCCACCCAATTTCCTGGATCCATGTCCCAATAGCAAGAGGTTATGAAGGAGAGAGCAGAGACAGAGGCAGAGGAGAAAAAGAGGGAGGAATCCCTTACTACAAATGAGATTAGAGAGATCTGTAAAATGTGAGAAACAACAAAGTTTTGTAGAAAAGCAGCACCCAAGTAAGGCTGTAACAGTGTGAGTGTTGAATCTGTTTAACAATTCAATGTCACATTTCCATGAAGCCATAAAAAGGGTGCAAAAGCACTGTCATTGGGCTAGATTCCTTGTTAAAGTTGCATGAAAAGAAAAATATTCCAAAAAATAAAACTATTCCATTGAGCCAGTAGACAGCAGCAATTCCAATAGTGATGGTGGAAGTCATCTTACACAATAACTCTTCTCTCTGGTGTCTCCCTGACACTAGACACAGAGGTTTTCAAAGTAAGTCAGGTTAATTTATTTTTCTTCATGTTTTATTTTTTATTCTTTTACAGTACTGTAATCAGTTTTATAGGTATATTTTTCAGTTGTGGAATGAATCATCTGAGTTTCTATTATTTCTTGTGGGGAAATTCACTGTGATATACAAGTGTTTTGGATTACAACCATGTTTCTGGAATGAGTTATGCTTGGAAATCAAAGTTTCACTGTATATGTCTTTGTGGGTACATATTTTTACAAAGGGTTGTATCAAAAACTGTATCTATCTTAAAATTTGATAGATATTGCTTCTGAAAAGATTTTTGCTGAACTTCATCCCCAAAATAGTGTGTAAAAATGGCTATTCTTCAATAAACTACTACCAAATTTTTTGATTTCTGTCAGTCTGCTAAATTGCAAGTCATATCTCACTGTAGTTTTAAAATTCATTTCTTTTATGGGAGGCATTGTCATTTTATTATTTGTGCATATATTTGTCAATAGTAGGCTTTTTGTTTTGTTTTGTAGTTAGTACAGGGTCTACAGGGTCTCATTACGTAGATCGGACTCATAGTGATCCTCCTGTGTTCAGCCTCCCAAGTGCTGGGATTAAAGGCATGCACCACCATGCCCAGTCTCAGTCACTGTCTCAGCGCACCCTGGGAGTGGGGCTGGCACAGCAGGCCCGGGAATCAAACCCCAGCCAATGCCTTCTGCATAAGCAGGTGCTTTAGTCCGCTGAGCTATCTGGCCAGCCCTAACAGTAGTAGGTTTTATCTGGCACATTTGTATAGGCGCATAATATACTTCGACAATTTCTACCCCTACCCAAAGCATTGATTATATGTTTAAAATCTTTCTTTTCCTTGTGTATTTTCTACCCATATCCTTTGCCTATTTTCTATTGGATTTTTAAATGTCATTGATCTGTAGGATTTGTTTATATATATAATAGATTAACTTTGTTTGCTATAACTGTTACATGCATTTCCATTGTTTTGTTGTTGCTGCTTTGGATTATGGCTTAAACTTTAATTTATAAAAAGTTTGTGAGATGATTTCTACAAACATTCAAGCCATATGACAGTAAAAATGTCAATATTTCATCTTTTAGCAGTATTTATTCTCACAGTGACTATATTACAACTACTAGACTATAGCTTAATTCTGAAAGCAAAAAAATGATTTTGGGGGACTGGCAAGACAGCTCAGTGGACTAAAGCAGCTGCTTAGGCAAGCTCAGGGACCGTCATTCAATCCCTGGCATCACATGCCAAGCCAGCCCTGCCCCCGGGGCAAGCTGAACGGGCCAGACTCCAGGAGTGGTGGCATAAACCTGTAATCCCAGCGCTGAGGAGGCTGAAAGCAGGACGATCACCAAGAGTCCAAGCTGTGTAGTGAGACCCTACAATAACCCAATATATTTAAAAGGAAAAAAAGGATTTTTTTTTTTTGTCATGCCATTGGATTTTCCATTTAAAACATAATCTTCACTTTAGTTGATAAGATTTGGATTTAATTCCACATTGAAATAAGAGCCTTGTGAATATTAGATCTTTTTAAATTTACTGTTTGAGGGATTAGCTGTCGTGTACCCAACTAAAATTCCTGATGGTCTTAAACTGGCCCTGAGAGCACTCATAGTACAGCACAGTCCAGAGACAGAGACCTGGATATCCTAGCGCTACTTATGCTCTGTGCCTGTCCTGGCAGAAACTAACTCCACCATTGCGGATAAGGGGAGATTTGATAGAGTGTTCACATCTCAAAATGTTTCTCCATACAAAATAGTTTTGAGATTTATAAATTTTGTTTTAAAAATAGGAAAGTTTGGGGGGCCGGGGAGATGGCTCAGTGAAATAAGCACTTCCCTGGCAAGCTCAGGGGCCTGAGTTCAATCCTCAGTTCGGCAAAAAAAAAAAAAAAAAAAAAAAAAGGGGGTTAAAAATAGGAAAGTTTGGCTGAGGATTTGTCTCAGTAGTAAAATTCTTGCTTCGTATTTGCAAGGCCCTGGGTTCCATCTTCAGTACCACAAAGGTAATTTTTTAAAAGAAAAATTATATTTTTATGGTTTCACAGTCAGATAAAGGCAGATAATAAAACTTTACCTTTCATGTCACATAAGGCCTGTAGTATGTTGGCCAAAGATCTCAAATTTCACCCTGAATTAATTCTTTTTTTTTTTTTTTTTTTCAGAATTAGGGTTTGAACACAGACCCTTGCACTTAGCAGGGAAGTGCTTATTCTACTGCGCCATCTCCCTGGCTCCCTAAATTAATTTTTACATAGTGATCTATATTTCCCTTCAGGTCAGCAAGAGATAAGATCCAAGAGTTTATTTCTAATTCAAGAACCTATCATAGGGGCCAGGGATACAGTTTGGTGGTATAAGCGCCTGCCTGGCAAGCACAAGGTCTTGAGTTTGGTTCCCAGCACTGGGGGGGTAAAAAAAAAGGCTCTTTGTTTTGGGCCAGGGAGATAGCTCAGTAGAATAAGCACTTGCTTGGCAAGTGCAGGGTCCTGAGTTCAATCCCTGGGTCCCGAGTTCAATCTCTGGCACCGGAAAAAAAAAAGAACCTGTCAAAGGGCTGGCCAAATAGCTCAGCGGATTAAAGTGCCTGCAAGCAGACACAGGGGGCCAAGGGTTCTCAGGGGCGAACTGAGATGGCAATCAAGACTGAGCATGGTGGCACGGGCCTGCAATCTCAGGTCTTGGGAGGCTATAAACAGACAGATCACTATAAATCCAATCTAGTAGTGAGACCCTGAACACCCTGTAGACCCTTCCAAAAAAAAAAAAAAAACCTGTCATAAAGGTAGCTGAAATTAGAACATTGTTTTTGTACTACTGATACTAAAGGCAAATCATGTTATTTAAATTGATATCAAAATTTTTTGAATTGTCCACTATATGCCAGTGCTGTGAGCAATATACTGACGAATTACACATGGCTCATCTCTCTACGTTGGCTGGTAATGAGGACAACAGTCAAGAATTTAATTACTATGGCAATCAGTTTCCAAAATGGCTCCCAGGGATCTTGGTTTTCTGGAATCTGTGCCTATTTTCATCCATTTTTGCTGCAATAAGAAAATATAACAACTGGACAATTTATAAGGTATATGTATTTATTTCTCATAGTTCTGAAGCTGGGAAGTCCAGGATCAGAGCTCCAACCTCTGGTCTGGGGGGACATCTTTGCTGTGCCCTCCATGGCAGGAGACGGAAGGGCGAGCTCACAGAAGTGCCCTGTGGCCTCGCTTGGGCAGGCTTTAGGGCAGCTGAGGAGGGATCAGGCTGCACAGCCGCGCGCCTCACTGAGGCCCCACCGCCTACAAGGTATTAACAACTGCCCAATTTTGGAGGGCATTCATTCAAACCAGTAAGATTTGCAATAACGTTTTCCTCGGTTTTATTTAATACTTTATATATTTGCAATTTTGGTTAAAAAGCAAATGGTGATCTGCTTTATTAGAGTTGAACAGCAAAAAAAAAAAAAAAATTAGGGAGAACAACAGACTGTTTGCCAAACTCAATTTGAATGTGGAACCAACTTCAATGAACTTTAAAAAATGCCCTTATTGTTTGGAAACTGGGAGTTTTCAGTGCTGTTCATGGATTCACAAAGTAAAGAAATTTTTGTTGTTTCTCAGTGCTGATGTTTCAGAAATATATTAATAGAAAAATGTAACTTCTCGTGGACCTCAAGAGACTAATTTGTGCATATTAACAAAAGATGGAGATAAATATTCAGACCCTATATTATTAAACTGTATAAAGAATATAAATATATTTGTCGTGTTCCGGAAGGCTCAAAAACTGTACTAGTAAAGAGTGGTCTTTTTCATTATTCTCAAAAACTCTTCTTCATTTATTGCTCCATCTCCATCACAGTCAGCTTCATTGAGCATTTCCTATAAGACAAAATATAAAGTGACATATTTAAAATAAATAAGTGAATATTCAAATACATACTCAAATTTTATTTTTAATGAAAAATTACAATTAAAGTTACAATACAGCCTCACATATAAATTATCAAAAACAATTATACATAAATCATAATGATAAAAAGGAAGAAGAGGGCTGGTGAGATAGCTCATTGGACTAAGCACCTGCTAGGCAAGCCCAGGGACTAGGATTCCATTCCCAGCACCACACGCCCCCAGGGGCACTGAGCCGCCTGCCAAGACCAGATATGGTGGTGCGCACCTGTAATCCCAGCGCTGGGGAGGCTGAAAGCAGGAGGATCACTACAAGTCCGAGCTGAGAAGTGAAATGCTATACCAAATACGTTAAAAAAAAAAAAAAAAAAAAAAGATTTACCTGAAGTTCACTGTCTGTTAAATTTTCCCCCAGTTCCTTGGCAACCCTCTTTATGTTATTTAGAGTTATGCTTCCAGTACCATCATCATCAAATAATTTGAAAGCCTTCAATATTTCTTCTTTTTCATCTCGTTCGCTCTTTTAGAAAAAGAAATAGCTGTCATTAGTCTTTCATTTACTCATCCTGCTGGACATAGTAGACCTTTGCTTCCTGATTGGAAATGCATCAGGACTTGGTTCCCTGACTTTTAGCAGTTCCCCCAGTGTGCTCACATGGGCCATCCGGTACTTAAATGCCCGTGTTGAAGCAGCACACCCCACAAGACGATAAAGAAAGAGCATCTACCAGTGCAGACCCTTAACCAAAACTATAAACTGCAAGAGAACAGGGAAGCTGCAGGATAGCGGCAGGCAAAAACTAGGCACTCACTACATATCTGACAAATATGACACTTCAAAATCCTGGCCCCACTTTGTCTCTCCTACATACACTGCAGCATCACTATATCCTGACAAAATCCTCTTCTCCACACATATCTCTGTTATTACCCTAACATTGCTCTGGCCCCGAAATGCAGACAGCTACTGCTTACATATCTTTAAAAAAGAAAATAAATTACCATTTTTGCACTCATAATGACCAAAAAAGTTTCAAAATTAATGGTACCAACTCCATCTTGGTCAATTTCAATTATCATCTGTCCAATTTCTTCTTTCTTTGGTTCAAATCCTAAGGCCTGCATTGCAATCTGAAACAGGAAAGAAGTAATTTTAACCTCCCATAATTTTATTCTGATCTTTACAATGGTTTACTAATTCATAGGCTCTCCCTCTCCCTCTCCTCTCTTCCTCTCCCTCTCTCCCTGTCTCTCTTTCTCTCTTCTCTTTTCCTCTCCTCTCCTCTCCCTTCCACTCCCCTCCCCTCCTCTGTCTCCCCCTCCTCCCTCCCCTCTTCTCTGTCTCGTCTTATCTCTTCCTCTCCCCTCCCCCCTTCCTGTCCTCCCCTCCCCCACCTGAGCATGAGCCTAGGAAATCAGATCAGCAACTTAGGTTCTGATCCTATTTTGCAAACCCTGGGTTGTAGCCCATTCCTCCATGAACCACAAATTGTTTAACAGAATTTGCTAATGTAGGACAGGTGTATATTCTGAAAAGATTCTATATCAAGCTTTCCAAAGACTACTATGAAAGAAAGATTTAAATTTTTCCACAAATGATAATTTTTAGTTTAGAATTAGAAATAATTTCAGAACCTTCAATTCTTTCACATCTATGGTTCCAGACCCATTTATGTCAAATAAGTTAAAGGCCTCTTTAATTTCTTGCTTTTGAGTTTCACTCAGTTCAACTTTTGCTGCTTTTTTCTTCCATTGCTCTAAACTTGTATGGTGGTTAGATGCCTGCAATAAATGTATAATAAATGTATAGATGAACTATATAGCTAGAATAATTGATGATGCACTAATTAAATCTCATAAATTAATATAAATGACTATCTTATTTCCTACTATATAATACCCCAATAGTTTCCTCTTTTTCTCCTTGCTAACATTTGTCATTTTAATTGTAGATGTTTTGGTAAAAAGGCTTGGGGGGGGGTCATTTAGATGTCCTTAGAATCTGGGTGTGGTGGCACAGTCCTATCATCTCAGAACTCAGGGGGAAGAGCCAGGAGGCTTACTGTGAGTTTGGGTCTATATAGTAAATTCAAAACCAGCTTGGAAAAAACAAAAACAGCCTAAAGTGCATAATGAAACTTTGTCTCAAAAAGCAAAAACAAACCAAATCAGTGTCTTTTGAGGGGGTAAAAAAAAAAAAAAGCACAATGTACATGGTGTCATGTCAGAATACAACTGGCCTTGCTTGACATACCTGAAAAGTGTTCATTTGAGGAATACATATATATTTATATATATTATATATATTATATATATAATATTCTATGTGTTTCACAATAACATTTGTTTGTTTGGGGCAATGCTTGATTGGAAAACCGTATCCTTTCATACTTTATCTTATCAGACTGTCCTGTATTACACAAGTGGAGAAAGTGAAAAGTCACGTTTTCCAGGTAAAAAACGACTTCAAAGATTTATATGAAGAATGTCGGGCCAATCGTCAGTATTCACCGAATACGTGGAAAATGGAGGGCATCTCGCTTTTGCGGTTTCCTGCCAGCAAGCCCAGTCAGTTACTCCTCGCGTCCTTTGGATCACATCGCCAGCTTTGGGTGAAGGACCAGTGGCAGCGCAGGAGGCACCGGGCTGCCCTGTCGGTGGGGCTCTAAGCTGCCAGCGTCAAGTGCGGCAAGAGTTGGCCACGTAAGCTGTGGATTCGGGATCCCCGAGCTACTAAGAACACCACAGTGGTCTTCATCGCTTTCCATAGCCTCAGAGCTTCTCAATCCTCAGCTCGCCAACCCAGGAACTCAGCAAATCCCCTCCTAGTCCGGAGTCCACAGTCTGCTCCCCGAGCCCCAGACAGCTTTGAACATCTTATTCTCTGCACTTGATTCCTTGCTAACTAAAATGAGATTTTTATTTCTAATGCGCAACCTGCTGTAGACTGTAGGCATCTGCAATTAAGATTAGTTGCGGGGAGGGGGATTAACTAGAGACCCACTCATCTATTCCGAGAGTTATAACTTTTTTTGCGGAACCGGGGATTGAACTCAGGCCCTTGTGCTTGCTGGGGAAGCACTTATTCTACTGAGCCATCTCCCCGGCCTATTCCGAGAGTTATAGACGTTATGAAGTTCGTGACGTGAAGAGGGTTGCTAATGACACTCGAGGATCGTGAAACAGAAAAATGACACATTTCATAAATTAAACAAAATCCCTTCCTTGACTAGCTCCACTCTCAGGAGGAGGTTACAGCATCGCACTCACCATGTCCCCAGTTAGCGCCCTCAAGCCGGGGACTCCGTGCTTTAATCGTCAGCTGCACCAAGCAACTTTAGCGTTCGCTGCTAGGAAACAGTTGCTAAGGCAGCTCCCCAGCAATAATCCCCGCCCACCGAGCGCGCTCTCTTGATTGACGGTCATGTCATCCAATAGTCAAACAAGAAGGCCCTTGAGGTCCGCCTGCTTCTACTCCCTACCAATAGCGTGGCGCTTCCACCTTCGTGCGCCAGGGACCTAGTGGAAATTTCCTCCGGGGCTGGATGTCTTAAACCACCTGACCCCCCCCCCCCCTTTCCACCCGCGGAGCTGCAGACGCAGAAGGGGGCGCGATTTCGCTTTCCTGTTGGTCTGAGTTCCAGCCAGAACCGCCCTTGCGGTGGGAACCCGGAGACTGTAACTCCACCCCGGCGAGGAGAAAGCCTTGAGGTTAGTAGCAAGTTGCTTCCGCAGACTGCAGACTCCGGTGCAGACTTAGGGAGACCTTGTTTGCTTTTCTGACCCCTTCCGTTCCCGGAAAGGGTGAGAATCTAGTCTGGTAGCCTGCGATGAATTGGTCCAGCGTCAGGCCAGAAGCACTGCAGAGGGAGAGGACAGTACTCTCCGGCGGTTAGACGTTCCTCGGGCCCCACGGTGCCCGGGTCTTCAGCCTTCCCTCCTGCGCGGCCGGGCGGGCTTCTGTGTTAAGAGACTCCAAAACTAGCGCAGGTGGGGCAGCGGGTGGTGGGAATGGGGAAGGGAATTGGGCTTTTCCCTGCTGAATATGAGAGAACGTTTACACATGACGTGGTATTGTAGGGGTAGGATGAAGAGGTGATAGTGTCCTGAAACTCCTAGCCTTTGATTGCTTGTATATGAGGATCTCTTTTATTGCTTCCTGCAGTCCTTTTCTAGAGTAAATATTTCATTTTACAAAGACCATACTGAATCCTCAAACAGTGGAGTTCAAAAGAATATTCGTTTTGCCTAGTCTTTTTACTTTGTCTCAGTCTCCTTGGAGATAGAGCAGAAAAAATATGCCAAGTACATTCTTCAAGCAGTCTCCTACATCACTTTTTATACATTAGTAAATGAAGCGTGACACAGTTTCCAAAGCTACTAGCCTGGCTTGTTCATGTTATATCTCAGGCAGACACCCAAACACTGCAACCATTAAGTCTCCTTAGGCTTCTGGGAAATAAGTAAAGTTATCTTAACATTAGAAATGATTTTTCAGTAAAAATTAAAATTATGTAAATTCAAGATATTTGTTATAGTGAATTTCTAACCGGTGGTGGACTTATTAAACCCAGCTAAATTAAACTAGCCTGGTGTTGGGTGCAGGAGGCCCACCTGAGGGTTGTTGCCAGCAGGATAAAGGGAGACCAGCAGAGGCTGCTGAAATGCTGTTAGGGATGCTGTTTGGAGAAGCTGTTGGAACTGTTGGAAGCTGCTAGTTCTCTTGAGCTGTTCTGTTGGAGGACCTTGTCATGCAGCCTTTCCTGATGAACTTTGGAGAAGCTTTAGCCCTCAGCTTGACCTCGTGGCTCAGGAGGGGAAGATGGTGCACTGCTCAGCCTCATGGAGCAGCTTGTCATGTTGGCTTTCCTGATGGAACTCAGCTTTTTCATCACTGGAGGAGCTTAGGACCTCACTGTTGCTGAGGATGACTGTGGTACCTTTGGGGGAGCTCTGGTGCTTACCTTGAGCATTACTTCTTAGCTCCAGTTCAGATCCCTCAGCCTGCTAGCACAGATCCTTTATCTTGCTGGCATAGATTTCCCAGCTTCCACCACTGACCTTTGGGCCTTTTCAGCACAGATCCGTGAAGCAGGCCTGCATGAGACCTTGTTGTGGACTCCAGGCCTCCAGTTGGACTTTGTGAGAGGCACTGTTATGAGCTGTAGGTTTTCAGCTGGACTCGTGCAGGATAGTAGGATCTAGGCCCTCAGCTGGAGTGTTTAGTGTTGATATGTGTGGACAGGTTTCCTACACTTCTTATATGTATTTAAGTGATTCATTATAAAATACTATAATAAAATGTGTCCTTTACTATATTGTTACCCTTGCAAAAACCACAAACCATGACATTTGTGAATTAAGTAAAATGTTAAGTCACTTAATTATGTTTTTCAGCATATATGTATATATCTCACCAGGTTAGATACTTCTTTAACTTGGAAGTCATTTCTCAGACTTTGAAATGAATATTGACCACAGGTATAGCCAATTTAACTCCAGTTTCTAGGCTTTCTTGGATTTAGTTTTATCTAGTGGTAATTGATAGATTAAACTCTACTGGTAATTAATTGCCTAAACAGTTGCACTGGTCTGTTTTTACATCACTATATTTATTTATTTATTTATTTTTTTTTGTGGTACCAGGGATTGAACTCAGGACCTTGTGCTTGCCAGGCAAGTGCTTATTCTACTGAGCTGTCTCCCCAGCCCCTACATCACTATGATTTAAATTCTCATATTTAGGATATTCTAAGGTTTTTGGGCTTTTTGTTTGTTTTTTTGTATTTGGCACAGGCCTCACTACACAGCTCCAACTCAGTGATCCTGTCTAGTTATATATATATATATATATATATATATATATATATATATATATATATTGGTGGAACCAGGGATTGAACTCAGGCCCTTGTACTTTCCAGGAAGCGCTTATTCTACTGAGCCATCTCCCCAGCCCCTTTAGTAATATTTTTAATGATAGGCTCAGATTCCAGATACTTTAAAGATGTACTCAGTCTTGAAAACTAGCACCTACTGATTGTATAATAGAATTTTAACAATCTAGGAAAATATGAAACCCATAGACATTCTTAAATGTACCAAATTTGTTAGATACTTCTACTTTTCATATACCATGTCAATGTCTGGGTGAATCTGAAAGGAGTTGGAGTAGACTTAGAATATGATAATCTAGTAAAACACAAGAATTCACAGATTAGTGGGGGAAATATATGCAAACAGAGATAGTGTTTTAAATACAGATTGCTACAGCTTTAGGAGTGTAGAAAGCAGAGACTTTCTCCTGAGGCCTTGGAGAAAGTTAAATCAAACTTATGCCCTTTGGGGCTAGAGAGATAGCTCAGAGGCATAAGCACCTACCTAGCAGGCAGAAGGACCCAAGTTCAATCCCCAGCCCCACATGCTGTGTGGTCTTGGCCCCGGATGCTGGTGCCCACCATGTGGCCCTGGAACTGGGCATGGTGGCTCACGCCTGTAATCCCAGCACTCAGGAAGTTGAGCCACGAGGATCTCTTCAAATTGGAGACCAGCCTGGAGGCTACAAAAATGAGCACAAGGCCAGCCCGGACTGCATAGTGAGACCCTGTCTCAGAAGAAAAAAAAAACTTATGAATTTTGCCCCAGGTTGTGACAGATGTAACTTTCAAGGAGGTGAAGAAGATAGGCTGTTCAAATCAGAAGTAGCTGCTCAAATTGAAGATAAGTAATACATTCTGTGGCAAGTTAGTGGACTTTTAAGAAGAAGTGGAAGAAGAATCAGATAAGGTTGAGGATACATTATAAAATACCTAGATCAAAGTAAGGACTTTATTTTCTAAGATACAAGTTTTTGGCAGTGTCTTATTCTGCTTTTTCAGAGATAACTTTGACAAGCACATGAAGGAGGAGCCCTTTTTAGAAGCAGTCAGAGCTTCAGCTGAGGCAGTGCCTACTAATCACATCAACTCTACTGATGATTGAAACCTACCTTCATGCTGGAGGAATGCTGCCAGTGGCCTCTGTCTTCTCTTACTGCGTTGTACTAGAATTCAGAGTAGCAAATGTGGTGAAAACTTACCAAATATTTATTGAGTGTCCCCAATAGTATGTCAGGCATTATTCCTCTGGGTACTTGGGTGATCAAGATTGCTTACCTGAAAATAACATGGCATGGGCCAGCTGGATAGCTCAGGGGACTAAAGCACCTGCTTCTGCAGAGCTCAGTGGCTGGGATTTGATGCCCGGTGTGCCGTGCCAGCCCCGGGGTGCACTGAGACAGCCATTGAGACTAGGTGTAGTGGCACCAGCCTGTAATCCCAGCGCTTGGGAGGCTGAAAATAGGCGAATCACTACAAGTCCGATCTACCTAGTGAGACCCTATAGACCCTGTAGACCCTGTCCTAAATTCATATGTATATAAAAAAAGAAAATAACATGGCTACAGAGTGATAGTCCATAAATAATTCAAGAGCTATGCACTATTTTTTAAGGTGAGCATTACAGAAAAAAGCAGATAAAAGGTATACAGAGTATAGAGAAAAGAGTTTATGATATTAATAGGATGCTCAGGATAGCCTTCATTAGGAGATTTGAAAGGGCCAGCCAAATAACTCAGCAGATTAAAGCGCCTGCTGAGGCAGAAGCAGGGGTTGGAGGTTCGATCCCCTCCCTGACATGCCAGCCAGCCCTGCCCCCAGAGTGTGCTGAGACAGCAGTTGAGACTGAGCATGGTGGTGTGCACCTGTAATCCCAGCACTTGGGAGGCTGTAAACAGCAGGATCACTACGGGTCCAGTCTACGCAGTGAGACACTATAGACCCTGTCCTAAAAAATACAAAATAGGGCCAGGGAGATGGCTCAGTAGATAAGCACTTGCCTGGCAAGCGCAAGGGTCTGAGTTCAATCCCCTGTTCCGCCAAAAAAAAAAAAAAAAAAAAAAAAGATTTGAGAAAATGTTGGAAGGAGGCGAGGCAGCCCATTTCTCCAAGAAAAGCATTGCACGAAGAGGGAACCACTGAAACAGAAACACTGGTGCAGGGAGCATCTCTCGCATGTCCAGGAAGGGAAGAGGGGGCAGCAAAGTGTAGAGCAGGGGGAAGTGTGTCGAAAGTACTATAAAGACCACGTTTTTCACTCGCAGTGAATTGGGAGGTTCTACAAGATTTTGAGCGTTGCATTGAAAGGGTCTGAGTTTATTTTTGAGTGGGACTTCTGTGTCAGAGAAAGAAGACCCTTCCAAGTTGTATCTAGTTGAGTTGTTTTTAGGGGAGGTTTATTTATTTATTTATTTTTTGGTTTTGGTGCCAAGGACCAAACCCAGGGCTTCCAGCTTGCTAGACAAGCATTCTACCACTAAGCCAAATCCCCAGTCCCTCCAAGTTATGTTTAAACAGTGGGATAACACAGGCTACTGTACTGGGAATAAACTGAAGATGAGCAAACTGTTGCTGAGTTGATGATGAAAGGGCTAATCATACTCATGGGAAAATACTCACTTTTTAAATGCAGCTCCTGAAAAGCATGTGTTGGTATTCTAAACTGAGTACCTTAGACAAGACTAGACATGATCTTATGAAAAACAAACTTCTTCTCATGTCAAAATCCCACTCAGTAGTCTGAGTCTGCTCTTCCATGACACACTTAGAAAGTTAAAGCAACATTAAGCTTGCAAGTAGTGAAAACAGAACTGTTTTAGAAACATTGGTGTTGATACATAGCAGGACTAGGACAGAGCCAATAGTAGTCGCCAAAGGCACTTGCCGTCTTTGAAGTTACCCATTTCACCATCCCTTTCACTGTTTTTTGCCTTTTATATTAACTGCTTAGAAGATAAAGAATTGTTTTCAGTTTTTATTTTGTGTTGATTGTAGCTCATTGCATCCTTTTCAAAATAATTTAGGTCTTCCAAAGTTTGGAATGCTAGGGTTTTATTTTTAAATGACTACTCAAACTTGGAATAGCTTCTTCAAATGCTGAAACAGCTGTCTTAGAATTTTTATTTGGATATCAACTCTATGACTTTTTGTAGTTTAGTTTTGTTTAAATAATTTCATGCATTCTTTAAAAATCTTTTTCCATGTAAATTAAATGCAGATTAAATTTGGAATAGCCCATGATTTTTTCTTTTTGTTCTAAATTCTTTCCTACTCATATAGTAATATCTAGTGTGAAGCATAGCATGGACAGTAGCCCGTAAGCAGAATATGAACTAGGCTGAGAAGAAAGCATTGTTTGTTTTATATATTTAGGACAGGGTCTATAGGGTCTCACTATGTAGATTGGACTCGTAATGATTCTCCTGTTTTCAGCCTCCCAAGCACTGGGATTACAGGTATGCACCAACATGCCCAGCCTCAGTTTCTATCTCAGCGTGCCCTGGGAGCAGGGCTGGCACTGCACACGGGATGGAACCGCAGTCCCTGCACCTGCCTAAACAGGTATTTTAGTCCACTGAGCTGTCTGGTTGGCCCTCAAAATCAGAGTGTTTGAAAGAAGATTCTAAAGAAACAAGAGTAGAGTGCTATCCTACTGTGTAGAGAAGCAACCAGGAGAAACTGCTACTGTGGGGTACTTAGTAGGATAAACTTTAGAATCTGACAAACCTAGGTTTCAGTTCATTTCCTTTTACTTACTAGCTGTGAGATTCTGTAATATGCTAAATTATTGTGCTTCACTTTCTGAATCACTAAAATAGGCTACTTACAGCACCTACCTAAGCTCATTATTTGGAAGGCTACAATCTATAATACATGTAAAGTGCCTCATATACAGTGAGCTCTCAGAATGTGTTGGAATGAAGGACAAAAATGAAAAAAAGTCAGTTTTATCTTTTATTACCTTTTTCTTTTAACAAATAATTCCTGGAACAACTGGATATCCATGAAGAGGGGGGAAACCCTTTACTTCATACCATTTGCAAAAATCAGTTTAAGACAAATTATAGGGGCCAGGGAGATAGCTCAGTAGAATAAGCACTGCAAGGGCCTGAGTTCAATCCCCAGATCTGAAAAAAAAGGGGGGGGGGGACAAATTATAAACGTACTTGTGTGGAAAAGAGCAAAGTTTCACTCATTTTTCCTGAAATAAAATCTGGCTATAAATTTAATCATCAAAACAATATGATACCCACATAAATGAACATATTGACAAATGAATTTGAGTTGAAGATTCAGAAATAAGCCCTACACTTGTGACCAGTTGATTTTTGACAGAGGTGTTAAGGCCACTCATTTGAAAAATAAAATGCTTATGTGGTGCTAAGACAATTGTGTATCCACATGCAAAAAAATGAAGTTAGACCTCTAGCCCTTTGAAAAAGTCTAGAATTATAAAACCCTTTTAATAAGACATCGAGTTAAATAGGCAAAATCTTGGTTTTAGCAGTGGACTCTAAGATATGACAGCAAAAGGATGAGCATTTACAACAAAATAGATAAATAAGACTTCAGCAAAATCAAAATTTCTGTACATCAAAGTGAAAGTTCAAAAAAAAATTTAATCTGAAGAATAAGACTATATTCACACCTCTAATATAGTGGGGTTCCTCAGTATCCAGGTAAATGGGTTCCAGGAGTCCCCTGTAGATACTAAACTTCATTGGTGCACAAGCTCTTTATCTAAAATGGTGCAGTAAGACTGGGCACGATGGTACTGGTTTATAATCCCAGTGCAGGGGAGGCGGAGACAGCAGGATCACTATAAGTCCGAACTGCATAGTGAGACCTTGTACCAAATAAGTAAATTAAAATTAAAGTTAAAAAATAATAAAATGGGGCTGCGGAGATGGCTCAGTGGAATATGCGCTTCCCTGGCAAGCACAAGGGCCTGAGTTCAATCCCCGGTTCCGCAAAAAAAGAAAAAGAGAAAGAAAATAATAAAATGGTATAGTATTTGAATATATCCTACATATATCCACCCATAAACTATACACCATCTCTAGAATTACCTATAACTAATACAGTAGGGGGGCTTTCAAGTTAGCTCAGTTGTTTAAAGCGCCTGCTTGGGCAAACTCAGTCAGGCGCAGGGGACCATGGTTCGATCCCCAGCTGCCCAACTGTACCAGACCCGCACTTAAGGCAGCCTGAGCTAGCCAAAAAAAAAAAAAAAAAAAAGTGGAAAAAGAAAAATTCAGTCTCTGATACAATAGAAACGGTTGCTATATTGCACTGTTTAAGGAATAACAAGATAAAAAGTCCATCACGTGTTCAGTACAGATACAAGTTTATTCCCAAATATTTTCCATCCATAGTTAGTTGGATCCACAAATATGGAAATCACTGTTACAGAGGGCCTGGCTATTCTTTGACAAGGGTCTAATATATGGAATATTATAAAAGGAACTCTTACAACTTGACAACAGAAAAACTAGCAAGCCAGTTTTATTTTATGTTATTTATTTTTGGTGCTAGGGACTGAACTCAGGACCTTGTGCTTGCCAGGTTTGTGCATATGCTGCTGAGCTATCTACCTAGGCCCCATAGCAAGCCAATTTTAAAATGGACAAATTACTTGAACAGACATTTCTCCAAAGAAGATACACAAATGAGCAAATCTGGTGCAATTCTGAATTGGATTCTTTTTTAATCTTGATTTATTTATTTGGTACAAGGGTCTTGCTATGCAGCTTGCACTCACAGTGGTTCTCCTGTCTCAGCCTCCCTATCCCAGCCTCCCCAGTTCTGGAATTACAGGCATGCACCCCATGCATGGAGCGCCTGGAACCAATTCTGGGGTGGCACAGCATGCAGTATGGGGGCTCAAACCTGGTTCCTTGTGCTTGCCTGGCAGGCACTTACACCGCCAAGCTGTCTCCCCAGCCCCTTCTCCCAACTGGATTCTTTATACTCTCATAATACCAAACTATATTATCCCCAATACATGGTATTTTTTGCTACCACCTCCTTCAACTTGCTAATTCTTTCTGATTATGCTTCAAGATTCATGCCAGGGGCTGCCATCTTTTGGAAACACCACCTGTTGCCAGTGTGCCTCCTTTCTCCTGTGGGATGAAGCAGTCATCCTCCATGCCCTGCACCCATATCATTAATATTGCACTACATCCTTGCAGCTGGCGACACCCAATGGAAACTCCACCTCACCGGGTAGAGTATCGTATCTACCTCACAGGGACTGTATCTAACTTTTCTTTGTATGTAGCAATGCAACTGTGAATCACACTTGAACAAAGTGCCACATTTTTATTTTATTTGCAGGGGATGACTCGTGGCGATGGCTTGCAGGGTCATGAACAAAAGAAGGCATATAGGACTTCAGCAGCTTTCCTCGTTTGCACAAACAGGAAGAACATTCCTAGGCCCTGTAAAATCATCAAAATTTATTATTGATGAAGAGTGTCACCAAAGTGTGTTCATCAGCTCAACAGTAAGGCTTCTTGAAAGTTTAGATATGACCAGTGCCGTGGGCCAACTTCTCAATGAAGCAGTTCAAGCACAGAATAGCACGTACAGAACTGGGGCCACTACTCTTTTGTTTCTTGCTGGTGCATGGAGCAGTGCTGTTGAAGAATGTCTCCATCTTGGTGTCCCCATTTCTATAATAGTGTCAGTCATGTCTGAAGGCTTGAACTCTTGTTGTGAAGAGGTGCTTTCCCTTCAGGTACCTGTCCATGATATATTTGACCATATGGACAGCATGGAAGCAGTCTCTGAATTTGAGACAGTTAGTGTCAGTTTGTGTCCTTTTCTGCAAGACCCTTCAGGTGCTAGTTCAATACAGGAAAAGCACAATCTCAAAGATATGGCACCTCACTTATCCCCTCACAATCTTTGTGGAAGACCTGTCAAATCGCTTGAATTCTTCAAACCTCAGGCTAACATTGAAGCAACTGAAAATACATCACAAGCTCTGAAAACTAGTCTGCGTGCAGATACCTGCTTCAGAAAGTCAGTGTTGATCCACAGTAGGCATCTTAACAGGACAGCTACCAGTCAGTGGCTACAGAAACCAGATAGATTTTTGGAACTGTGTGGTGACACTACTTTCCAGACTTACAGGTGTCATGACTTGGTTGAGTTGGCCACGGGCTTGAGTCATGGAGATGCAAGCAGCATGAAACTGGTGGAAGAAGCTGTACGGCTGCAGCATCAGAGTGCGTGTATGCAGCCAGGCAACTGTGTGGTGCCATTTGTGTTTGACATCTCAAGACTCTTCACTTTCTGTCTACCAGGCTTGCCTGAAGCCCTGTCTTGTGTTTGTCCAGGATATATCACTCTGGTATCAACGTCTAGTGCTGCTGTGGTCCAGGAATTGCAGAGTCAGCCTATCCGGGTAATTCTCATTCAGGGTGACCTCACAAAGAGTTACCGCCACCTGGGATTTAATAAGTCTACAAATATTAAAACAGTGCTAGATAGCATGGATCTTCAAGAAGACAGCTCAGAAGAAGTGTGGGCAAAGCACGTTCTGCAGCTGTTATTCCAGTTCAGTGTGAACCTTGTGCTGGTGGAAGGAGATGTATCTGAGCACTTGGCTGAAAAGTGCCGGCACAGTAATCGACTGGTTGTTGGGTCAGTGAATGGCCGTGCGATCCAGGCTTTGGCGGAGGCTACAGGAGCAGTGCAGGTGGCCTACATCACACAAGTGAATGAAGACTGCGTGGGCAGTGGGATCTCTGTGACCTTGTGGAAAAACCCACTGGATGCTGTAGATCGGAGCAATAGGATGGCAGTCTTATTAAAAACAGAAGGAATTAATGTGATTACAGCAGTGCTCGCTAGCCCAGTCAGTGCGCAGATGCAAACTAAAGAAGATAGATTCTGGACTTGTGCATATCGTGTGTATCATGCTCTAAAAGAAGAGAAGGTCTTCCTTGGAGGCAGCGCAGTTGAATTTTTGTGCCTCAGCCATCTTCACATTCTTGCTGAGCAGCCTCTGCACAAAGGAGACCATGCCTGTTTGGGATGGCTTCATGATACTTCCTCTTGGCTAGCCTCATCTCTGGCAGTGTACAGACCAACTGTGCTTAAGTGCCTGGCCAGTGGATGGCACAAGTACCTCTCAGTGCTTCTATATAACACTGCCACTTACTCATCAGAACTGGAAGCCAGCACGTTCATTCAGCAGCATCTACAAAATGCGATAGACTCTGGCTGTCCTTCATCGTATATATTGAAAGAATACAATAAGCTAAATAGTGGAATCTTTAACTCAGACATTTCAAATACAGTAGAGCACATTCCAAGAGTTTATGATGTGCTTACACCAAAGATTGAGGCATGGCGCCGAGCACTGGATTTAGTCCTCTTAGTGCTGCAGACAGACAGTGAAATTATCACTGGATCTGGACATGCACAGATCAAGTCACAGAAACTAGAGGGCTTCTTATTTTTGTAATGCTATTGGTTAAGTCTTTGGAAAATAATCTTTTGTAATAGATCCTATGAGCAATAAACTTATTAATAGCAAAGTCACGGGGCCAAAAAATGCTAGCTACTGACCCAAAAGAAAATAATTGATGTCTGTCAGTAACTGCAGGGTCTGAGAATTTCTCTTACTTAGAAACTAACAGATTAGTCTGTTGCTGTTTTCATGAGATTCCACACAAGATGCATAAGTGAGGCAAATGCCTTTCACTATAGCAATGAAAGCTGTGTCAAGACTTTGTGTTGGTTTTCATTAGTTCCCTGCTTGTCTGAGTCCTGCAGGGACAACACAGAGGGTTAGTAAAGAGAACCTGCAAGTGAACTGTGCTGTTGCTCAGAATTATCCCTGAGCTTGGGATATTCACTGCTTGTTTTTTTTTTTTTTTTTTTTTTGGCGGAACCGAGGATTGAACTCAGATCCTTGCGTTTGCCGGTCAAGCGCTTATCCTACTGAGCCATCTCCCGGCCCCTATTCACTGCTTTTTAATAAACATAAATAATGCTGCTTCTTTGTCCAGCAGGTGCTATTATCACATACTTCAAGGTGACTTGGTTTAAATAAGCATTAGGCATAGATGAGATACAGATGAGTCAAGTCCTTGCGATCTTAGCATACCCAATTATCAGGGACTCCTGCAGTGAGCCCCCAGTTTCCTGCAAGGTGTTATGGCTCATGGCAAAAAGAGCAAGAGAGAAAATGCTGATGCAATGGGGATCTGGGATGACTGGTTGCTTATGGAGGACAAAAGACTAGGAGACAGCCAGAACCTCAGTGTTTACTGAGGAACATGGAGAGGGGATTACAGCTGGGTGTGCTAGACAAGTGCCTCTGCAGGCACCTTGTGAAGAGGGAACAAAGCATTCTTGCAAGGATGAGACAAGGGCAGTGAGGAAAACGTAGCTTCCCCAGGTGAAACTCTACTACCCTGCAGTGCTGTAAGATCCCTGCCGTCCTCAGTGTTGCAGCCTCACTAGGCACCACTTCAGCTGTGACCAGAAAAATATGGGAGTTTCCTCTTCTAGTCTGAGTCAAAGGGCAGGACAAGGTCAGCCGCAGACATCCTCTAGATTCAATTTGTAATTTGTGGTCCCCAGTATTGGTATACAAGGATGCTCAGACCCTGAGGTGATAACCTTTCCAGCAATCCATGTCATTTATATTAGGATGGAGTTGGAGTAAGGTCACTGAAAATAAATGTAACCTTAAAGACAAGGTTCCTTGACCTTTAGGAGATAGCTGTAGGTAGAAAATTTTTCCTACCAGACTATGTTAGTTTTGTCTCACTGAGGCAAAATACCCAACACCCAAAAGTAAGGAAGCAAAAATTTATTTAGCTCACAGTTTGTGGAGGTTTCAGTCTGTAATCAGCTGGCTCCGAGGCAGGGTGGCTTAGCAGAGGGACACTCGTTCAGGGCAGTAGAAGGCAGCAAAACAAGAGCAAAAAGGGGGAACAGCCTCTTTTCCTCCCTTATATTATAATTGGGGACACCCTGCTGAATCACTTAAACTTCTAAACTTCTCAAGTTGATGCAATGAATCAACCAGGGAAGGCTACACGGGTTAATGTTGCAGGACTGGAATGTGGCTAAGTGGGATGTGGCCCTGGTGGGCGTGTCAGAGAAGTGCTTGTTCTACTGAGCCATCTCCCCAGCCCAAACTTTTTTTTTTTTTTTTAGCGGAACCAGGGATTGAACTCATGGTGGGGGTGTCGAGCTGCTCCCCAGCACAGGCCTGCTGGGCCTGGGATGCAGCCATGGGTGACCGAGGCTGGGGAGGGCCCACAGGAGCTGCACCCCACCCCACACCCTCGGCTCCCTCCTTAGCCACATTCCAGTCCTGTGCCTCCATTAATAGCAGAGAGCCCTGGAATAAGGAAACTGAAAAACTGACCCTGGCCTGTCCTTACCTCCAGTCCTCCTTTTCTTTGGTGGGATCCACAAAAATCCTTGCACATGGATAGAACATGGGGAAAAACAAACCACTTCGTATCAAATCAAGAGCACAAGCAAAGATAAAAACAGATTGCCTTAGCACTCTTTCCTGCCAGAAGAAAATACCGGACTGGGTAGTTTAAAAGGAACCAAAATTTCTCGGTTCCAAAGTACCAGAAGTCCAAGATCAAGACACCTGCTTCCTACGTCCTCGTGTGGTGGATGGAAGGTAGAAAGCCAGGAGAGCATGTGCCCACTCCAGCAAAGCCCCTTTTTGGGTGGCATTAATCATTCCTAAATAGCTTCCAAAAGGCCTTACCCCCAACACTGTTATACCAGGGATTAGGTTTCCAACACATGAATTTCCAGAGGGTCTAAAAACATTCAAGCTGTGCTGTCATCGGGACTCCGAGCCCAGCTATGCCCCCCATGGCCCCGGACAAGGAAGGTGAGTGAATGGGGCTAGGAATCCAGCCTGCCCTAGCCTGCAGGCAGGAAAGGACAGGCAGCACTGAGAAGCCAGGCAGGGTGAAATACTGGGGCCAACCCAAGGGGAGCAAAAACGAGGGTGTTTCCCAGATCCAGAAGACCACCACAGCTCCATGGGGCAGACCTAAAGAAAACACTGGACGCGGAGGGAGACGAGGGCGTGGAGGAGGGGTGCAGCACCTGTGGGCCTCCCCAGCCTCGGTCACCCATGGTTGCACCCCAGACCCAGCGGGCCTGTGCTGAGGAGCCGCTCGACACCCCCACCATGAGTTCAATCCCTGGTTCAGCTAAAAAAAAAAAAAAGTTTGGGCTGGGGAAATGGCTCAGTAGAATAAGCACTTCTCTGACAAACCCACCAGGGCCACATCTCACTTAGCCACATTCCAGTCCTGCAACATCCCCTCCGCCCAACACACCCTGGGGTCACAGCTTTTGGGACTTCTCCTGTCCTCTGCTGCTCCCTCTGGCTTCCGGCTGGAGGACTCTCCTGGCCTCAGCTCCCCACCCCCACTGCGGACAGGGGCCACTGCCCACAAAGGCCTGCAGAGGGGCCACTTGGCTCCCCAAGGCTCCAGTCTCGCAGTCTAACCCCCTAGAGGACTCTCGCTGGTCCGTGTTTCTTCCCCACCTTCACTGCCCCGGCCAGGTCGTTCAGCCCCCTGGGAGTATAGCACGGAGCAGCAGCCAGAGGCCGCGGCCAGAGCGGAGTCAGCTGGTGGTCACTGCGGCACGGTGAGGCCAGGTATCCTGTGCAGCTGCTAAAGCCAGGCGCTGGCTGCCTCCTGCTTCGACTGTGGCTGCTGACCACACACCCTCCCCCCGCCACCCCACCCTCCTACTCCCCACCCCCCAAGGTTCTGGTTCCATCTTTGCTTCTGCTCACAAACTACCTCTGGACCGCTATGTTGGGTTTTGTTCAATGTTTCATTCTTATTTGACATTGCTGTTAGCCACCAGCTCCAGATGTTCTTACTCAAGACCTCGTTCTGCCTGTTCCCTCTTGTGGGAACTAGGCTAGGGTGCCCGGGCCGTGTGTGAGCACCTTAGTCCCGGGGACAGTGGGGCTGTGGCCCAGGACAATGCTGCGGCAGAGTGAGGAGGGGCCCTGTGGACCAGGCAAGGGTGCAGAAGTCAGCCACTCCCCGTGTCCTGTGGGAGAGGGTGGCCATTATTCTTCCTAGTCTGAGATTCCCTTCTTGTTTCTTATTTGTAGTTATTTGAATGAAAATATATCCTTTTCTGGAAGAAAAAAAAAGTAAAAAAGATTAAACTATAGCACAAACCAAATAATATTCTAGTAGATAATGAAAATTCACAGGGTGTTGGAGCAGTTACACAGCATATGAAAATTATGTTTAAGGCTTTTTTTTTTTTTTTGTGCTGGGGATTAAACTCGGGATCTTGCACTTGCTAGGTAGGCACTTAAGCCACTGAGCTATCTCCCCAGTCTGAAGATCTTTAAAAAGAGTGAAATCGCGTGCTCCACCTTGCAAGCACAAGGTCCGGAGTTCAATCCACAGTACCGCAAAAAAATAAAATTAAATAAATAAATAAATAAATAAATGATTTTTTTTTACATCAGTTATTTTTATTTTAAAGAAAAAAAAAACAATGGTACAAAATCTCAAAACAAGATTTTAGGAGAATAACAGTGGTTAGTACATTGTGTATTGTTACTGCCAAAGTAGTTTCTCATATTACAAGATATAGGCAAGAAATAAAAAATAAA